GTGGGGCGTCTCTCTTCCCCCGCCCCGCTTGGGGCCGCCCCTGCCGTAGATGAGATCTGCTCCAGGTTTCTCTCCCCTCCCCCCCTCCCAACCCCCCAGTTAGCTAGCTAACCATTCACAGTCCTAGTTATTATGTCCTACCCTGCCAAGCATGCAGCATTCGAATAGCACCGTTACACCTTGGCTAGCCTGACTGTGCCCAGCTTGAAATCCTGGTCTGTGTGCTAGCGTGCAGCGTGCGATGCTAAGGTAGGCAAGACCCACAACGTAGCTCACCGTTGGCTCTCCCCTTCATGGTCCCCAGAATCCTGGTTACGCCTGCGGGGGCGGGCTGCTCTGGTCTGCATTACCTTAGTGTGCTCCATGGTCCTGGCACTAGGTTACCTGGAAGCATCAGTCCTGGGATCCTGTAGCACATGACATCTCACTAGTTCTCCCACCTGTGATTGCAACTCACCTTGTTTTAACAATGGCCCCAAACGAGGCTGTGACACCAGATGCTGTGGTTGGCCCAGGGAGTGCGCAGGAACACGGGGGACAATGAAATTTGGTCTCCTGACCCAATGGCCAGAAACACCCCATTCTCTGACGCTTTGGCATGGAGTGAGAGAAACGTGGCTGCCATTTGCAGGGGTTAGGGGACTCTGACCTCTGCTCCCACAATTCCACTGCACTTCCAGATGCCCTTTAAACAGCCCCCTGCAAGCCACTGTACATGGACACGGTGCTGGGACTCAGGGTGTAGGTTTCCAGGCACCCTAGAGAACCCAGGCATTGATAATGCTAGGGCTAGTGTTTGGCACCTCTGCAATTCTCCCCCGCTTTACAGTCCACTTTTGGAACAAGGCCGGCCAAGCTGTGGTAACCGTCTTCAAGTCTGTTAAGAGAAACTGGAGGTGAATGGAGATGTAATGGGCTTACGCTGCAGCAAGGGAGATTCAGTTGGCGATTAGGAAGAACTTTCTAACTCTTAAGGGGAGTTAAGCTTTGGAACAGGTTTCCCAAGGAGGTTGTGGAATCCCCATCATTAAAAGCTTTTAAGACCCATATCTGTCAGGGAGGGTCTAGATTTACTTAGCCCTGCTACAGCAGAGGGCTGGACTAAGTGACCTCTTAAGGTCTCTTCCGGCCCTACTTTTCTATTAACAGGTTGCAGGGAACACCAATCCTGCCCTGGTCATACATGGGAGGAATGACCTAGTGCTGCTGATCTGCTAAATTATAAGAAGTTAAAATATGTTAAGTGGTAGATTTGTCTAGTACAATTCACAGTCACGCTTGTTTTCCACCTCCCGTTTCTGGGTGTCGGTGCTCACAGTGTCTAGCTTATAAAACTCGTCCAGATGAAAAGGGATATAAATTCAGGCTCTTCGAGTAGCATCCCAATGGGCAGACGCTTGAGTCCTTCATCGGAGATTTTCTGTTGACAGGGTGGGTTCTGCCTGTGCTACTCATGCCACACAAGGGTAGCTAGACCTGCACAGGCGAAGTGTCCTCAGTTCCTTCTCTACAGCCTCGGCCTGGGGGAGCGCTGTCTGGGCCAGAGCATGTTCTTCAGTTGTTTTACTCCGTTTTGTGGTGTAGTTGCCAGTCTAGAAATAGACACAGTGAGCAGTTTGGGGCCTCCCCCCTTCCTTCTCTCCCTTTCTCCAGGAAGTTTGTGACTTGGCTGGGCAGGCCTGGCTCGCCAAACGTTCCCTCTCCTGCCAAATGCTATCCCGGTCTGCGTATCCATTGCTAGGCAGCGTCTGATATCTGTGTAACTGGATCTTTCTCCTAGCTCTCAAAGCTAGAGCTGCGGTTCCTAAACTTTAGCAACCCAAGGACTCCCCTCCCCCCATTTTGATTTAAAATGTTTCATGGATCCCCAGGCTGGCTTCTAATTTTTCAACAAATGGTCTGGTAGCACTTTCTAGACGAACAAAACACGTAGATGGGATCATGAGCTTTCGTGGGCACAGCCCACTTCTTCAGATGACCCACTGTGCCCACGAAAGCTCATGATCCCATCTACGTGTTTTGTTCGTCTTTAAAGTGCCACCAGACCATTTGTTGGGTTTTTTTTTTAAGTTTATCCTGTACAGACTAACTTGGCTATCGCCTGAAGCTTCTAGTTTTTTGTAAGGGTACTCAATGGCTGCTTAGACCCA